TTTTTTTTTTTTTTTTTTGGTACTGGGGATGGAACTCGGGTCCTTGGGCTTTGAGGCAGGTGGTGGAACCACTGAACTAAATCTCTGGCCCCCTTCTTTTTTAAAAAATTATGTTTTTTAATACCTTTTTTTTGGGGGGGGGTACCAGGAATTGAACTCCAGACCTTGAGCTTGTGAGGCAGACGGTGGAACCACTGAGTTAAATCCCAGGCTGAATGTGTCCTTTTCCAGTTGGAAGTTAAGCTTCCAAAACTACATTGTAGGTTTTCAGAAATATTCTTTTGTGGGTCTAGGGAGTGTACCGTGGTGGTAAAGTGCATGCTTAGCATGACAGAGGTCCTGGGGGTGCTCTCACTCTCTCTCTGTCTCTCTCTCTCTCTCTTCCCCCCCTATATATATGCACATTTTTCTCTAATACAAATATTTCACTCCTGCCTAGCTTTATACTTATTATACATTCATAAAATTACTTCTACAGAGCAGTGAAATGATTGAATTAACACACAAAGCACTTCCTTATTTTGTATGTCTCTTTACTTTTTCCTGCTGCTGAGGCCTGATTTGCATCTTTTACATTGGCCTTATAGGAACAGGGAGAGCTTTCTTGTAGTAGAGGAAATATTGTTTTCCCTCTCAAATGCTGGCAAAAATGGTTGTAAGTCTATCAGTACAGCTTCCAGCTATAACCATTCTTCTGTATTTACTTGTGTTATACTCATATTTCTTCTTAAACTATTTATAGTAATTTATCTTATGCCTCATGACCTAAATTTAACTAAAAGTTGATGTTAGAGACTTATTAACTTTGAGGTAAATGCACAATTAAATACCGATAAGTTGTCACTAATTATAAAGTGATTAATACTCTCTCAAACTCCCCCCACACCTCTTTTTGGCTCCTTCCTACTGATTTGGTTAGACCCGTGTGGCTTTCCTTCCTGCTCTCATGTTTAAATATCGGGGTTCTCCAGGGTCCTGTCTTGGCTCTGGGTGGGTGCTCCAGGCCTCCTGTCTTGGTGGCTCTGGTCCCTTTCTGTGGCCCCACTGACCATCTGCCCCACTCAGTATGAGTCTGTGTTCACTTCTGCTCCTTCCCAAACTCCCACCCCACAACTTCCTGTCTCTCTGTTCATCCAGCCACTGAGAACAAGACACTGGGATCGTCTTAAAATACTGAGTGCCTACTGGGTCCCAGACGCAAGTCTACTTAGCTCTCAGGAGAAGACAATGAGTAACGACTACTGTGGGTCAGGGATTTAGCTCAGTGGTGCCACTGCCTGCCTCGTAACTGCAAGGTCCCGAGTTTGATCCCCAGTACCAAAAAAAAAAAGACTACTGTGAATATCATTTCCCAAATGAGGAAACAGATTTGCCCAAAACTACAGATCTGGGAAGAACAGGACCCAAGATTTAGACCCAGGCTTTATATATTGTGGTCATCCTTCTAACCCACTGTTTGTTGTTGCTTTGTTTTGTTTTGGTACCGAACATCGAACTTGGGACCTTGTGCTTGAGAGGCAGTTGGCAGAACCACTGAGCTAAATCCCCGGCCCCTAACCCACTGTTAATGACAATAGCACCAGATGGCCACGTGCTTCATAACCTTTTTCACCTCACATGCAGCTAGGTTGGGACCACGTATCTAGACCTGAATAATGAAATGGAAATTGAAGAATAAATATCTCTCCCACATCAAGCCACTAAAAGATGTTCTTCATTGCAATCCCCCCTCCCTCATCTGGGAGTGAGGGAGGAAACAGTTTTCCCTGACTCTCGTGAGTTCATACCTGGGACAGAGCCCTGTAACAAGAATCAGACCAGGCAGAGAAGAACACACAGGTTCATTAATGGGAGCAGTGCCTGCAGACAGGAGAAACTCAAACCCAGGGTGGGAGCTCTGCCTCCGAGTGTCTTCACCAAAGGACAGTGCACTTTCACATGTGTGACAAGACAAATGTGCCGCTGCCACCATCAGAGGAGAGACTGCGGGCAGAGAGCAGATGGGCTGAGCTGACAGAGCAATGCTTGCTCCCCAGGGTCCTGGAGTAGGTGCGAGCTGTCGCCAGGGATAACTTCTGTCCGTCCGGGTAAAGACAGGAGGGGACGCCTTCGCACACGTGTATTTTGCCTTTAGAAAATGGAGACAAGGCAGCTTTTCTGCTCCAAAATGTTTGTGTGAAAGAGGCATGTTTGGGGGTGACATATTCTGGTTTCCTGTAGTACCCATGAATTGGGGGCGTAGCTACAAACATGGAGGAGTCTGCATGGTATTAGTAAGAACAAAAGCTTTGCGTAAAATCGAGAGAGGTCAGGGTTTGTTGTGACCACAGTGTGGCCAAGCTTAGCCCAATACAACCCCGAGCCAAAATCCCTCCCTCTGCGAGTCCACATCCAATCGGGCCCCACAGCCTCTCTCTCCCCTTCATTCCCAATTCTTTTCCGTCCCTGTCATTTTCCTGGTGTCTTAGTCTAAGCCCTCACCCTTGCTCACTGGGACTCGAACTTCTAAATAATAAGAAACCTCCCGGCCTCCATCCTTAACTATCCCCAGCCCTCAACCACAGCCCAGCTAGGGTGACCCATCCTAAATCAAGTATGTCAGACTTAAAT